GATATATTGTAGTACTCCAATAATTTGGCAAGCCACTCTATTTTTGTCGGTATAATACCACTTTTCCAATTTTTCGCAATCAATCAGAAGGTTATTTTCTAAGTCACAATCATACTGGATTATCATGGTCAGACCTTAATGAGTCATCTATCTATCTATCTATCTATCTTCTCCAAAGCAACACTTCAAACCCATAACGTCCAAGGAAACAACTCTTCCCACTTCTACAGTCAGGGGCGTCTTGCCCATAGAGGCAAGTGGTGCAGGGCACCAGGGCGCCAAGTTCTGGAGGGTGCCAGGGAAGAGGCGGAGGCTGGACGCGGCACCTCCCAGCATCAGCTTCTCACCCTCGCCCGCCTCACTGAAGCAGCGCCGCGCCCAGAGCCTCTGCCTCTTCCCCACCGGAGGAGCCGCCCTCCAGCCCCTGCCCGCCTCCTCCAGCCCTGCAAAGCTGCCAGCAGCGCCATAAAAAGGCCGGCAACTCTGGGAAATGGGGGGGGCAGCGCCGGAGGGATTTTTGCACCACGGTGCTGGATATACTTAAGACAGCCCTGTCTACAGTTCTGTACTAAGGGCCCTTCCAGATGTTTGGAGAGAACATACGGTTTTGCGTACGTTCCGTAAGATCCTGCTGAAATCCTGCAACTTTATATTGCAACTCTTCTGGGGTTATTTCTTTTTTCCCCTGTTGGTTCTCGTTGTGTAAGCGAGCCCCTCCAGGTGGCAATAATGTGATAGTAATGGGGAAGCATCGCTGAACAAATAAAGTAGAGTGGTTTGTGGACGGTCCATTATATAGGTCCTAATGTACTGTGTTCTTGTGTTGGTGGCGTGCTGCAGAATGCACCCTCAAAAAATGAAATGAAAGAAAACCCTCACCAGTCTGCAGAAGCCCTCAGTGTTTTGACTGGTGTTTATATGGCGGCTTTGTACTATGTTACCTCTGGTGGTACAGGATTATGCACTGACAGTACAGGTAGGTCATCTAATATTTTGCAAGAGCAGAGTAGTCGCTGAGGGATCCCACAGTGGTTTTAACACTTCTTTGGTTGTGCTCTTTTTACACCATACAGTCACTGAGGCTACACTGAGGTTTGAAGTGGAAGACTGGCACCAAGGCGAGGGGTTCTTTAGCTGTATATCCCTTCATACTGTTTTTCCCCCTGCTGAATCTCACATAAAAAACCCAGCTGGTTTTACCCCCTCTGTGGCAGACCCTCCAAGTGTCCCTGTTTTCCAGAGGCAGTCCTGGATTTACAGAAGCCGTCCCGGTTTCTGATTTGATCCCGGAATGTCCCGCTTTTCCTTAGGATATCCCTATTTTCATCAGGGAAATGTTGGAGGGTATGGAGTTATCCAACCCCCGAGCCAAGGAGATAAGTAACGATACAACCTTTAGAAGACATCTGAAGGCAGCCCTGTATAGAGAAGATTTTAATGATTACTATTTTATTATAATTTTATGTATGTTGGAAGCTGCCCAAAGTGGGGCAACCCAGTCATATGGATGGGGTATTATTATTATTATTATTATTATTATTATCATTAATAGAACGTTCCTATTTTCATTGGAGAAATGTTGGAGGGTACACACTGTGTGGTTCTGCCCACTGCACTAACTTATGCAGTCGGCAAACTTGAAACACAGGGCTCCAGAGAAAAAGCTCAGCTGAGCTCTTCTCTGTGGCATGTACATTTTGGGACCAGGTGCCTTGATCATGAGGGATTCCTTCATGCAGTCAACCAACCCTGGTAAAATAATAAGTGCTTAAAAGTTTGCCCTCCTCCAAAGGGTGTTGGTGAATAGGGATTGATCGTTTTAACAGGCAATCAAACTGAAAGGTCAAAATTTGTGTTGTGCATTTGGCATTAAGGTTTCCGTTAAAGTGTGCTCTGTTCAGTACTCTTGTTTTTTTTTTTAAAGCAATTTATTGGGTTTTACAATAAAAATAAACATATTAAACAATATGACCTTTGTCTTGACATAATTTCACATTTTCTTTGGACTTCCTCACATCTCCCGCTCCCACTTTCATCGTTATAACATTTTGTCAGCAATTTATCATCTTATTTAAATTCTTATATCGCTTCTATATTTCATAATCTTATAATTTTCAAAGGGAATTAAATTTTCACAGTCTTACTTATTTTCATAGAAAACTTCTAAATTTAGTGGTGCTCAGTTATTTTGGTCTAGCATCTTATTTAGCATTCACTCAAATTGCAATATTTTTGTAAATAGTTCTTGAATTTCTTCCAATCCTCCTCAATCCTTTCTTCTCCCAGGTCACGGATTCTGCCGGTCATTTCAGCCAGTTCCATGTAGTCTATCAGTTGCATCTGCCATTCTTCCAGTGTGGGTAGATCTTGAGTTTTCCAATGTTTTGCAAGAAGTATCCTTGCTGCTGTTGTTGCATACATAAAAATGTCTGATCCTTCCTTGCCACCCCTTGGCCGACAATACCCAAAAGGAAAGCCTCTGGTTTCTTAGTGAAGGTATATTTAAATACCTTTTTCAATTCGTTATAAATCATCTCCCAGAACGCCTTCACTTTAGGGCAAGTCCACCAGAGGTGGAAGAACGTTCCCTCAGACTCTTTACATTTCCAACACTTATTATCAGACAGGTGGTAAATTTTTGCAAGTTTGACTGGGGTCATATACCATCTATAAATCATTTTCATTACATTTTCTTTCAGAGCGTTACATGCAGTAAACTTCAATCCATTACTCCACAACCTTTCCCAGTCCTCAAACATAATATTATACCCAATATCCTGTGCCCACCTTATCATAGCCGATTTAACCGTTTCATCTTGTGTATTCCATTCCAGCAGCAAGTTATACATCCTTGAAAGTACCTTAATCTTTGGTTCTAACAATTCTGTTTCTAGTTTCGATTTCTCCACCTGGAACCCTAATTTCTTATCATTTTTAAAAACTTCTTTAATCTGAGCGTAATGTAACCAATCTCGCACTTTATCTTTCATTTTCTCCAAACTCTGCAATTTCCAATTGTCTCCATCCTTTTCTAATATTTCCCAATATTTTGGCCATTTAGCCTCCATATTGGGTCTTTTTCGTGCCTTAGCTTCCAAAGGTGAAAGCCACCTTGGTGTTTTATTTTCCAGCAAGTCTTTATATTTTGTCCAGACATTAAACAGTGATTTTCTGACAATATGGTTCTTGAAGGCCTTATTTGCTTTAACTTTGTCATACCATAAATATGCATGCCATCCAAAAACATTGTTAAACCCTTCCAGATCTAACACATCAGTGTCTTCAAGAAGTAGCCAGTCTTTTAGCCAGCAGAACGCTGCGGCTTCATAATACAACTTTAAGTCTGGCAGGGCAAAAAGCCCCTCTTTGTTTTGCATCAGTTAATATCTTAAACTTAATTCTGGGCTTTTGCCCTGCCGACAAACTTAGAAATGTCTCTCTGCCACTTCTGAAAGCACTCCATTTTGTCCAAAACCTGAAGTGTCTGAAATAAAAACAACATCCTTGGCAATACATTCATCTTAATAGCAGCAATTCGGCCTAACAAAGAAAGTTTCAATTTTGACCAACTATCTAAGTCTCTTTTAATTTCTGTCCAGCATTTTTCATAATTGTCCTTAAATAGACTGAGATTTTTGCTGTTATGTTTACCCCTAGGTATTTTACTTTTTTAACCACATTGAGTTCCGTCTCATTCTGAAACCGTTCTGACTCTGTATCAGTCAAATTTTTCCCCAAAACCTTAGTTTTCTGTTTATTTAATTTAAATCCAGCCACCCGACCAAAATCATTAATCAATTGTAATACTCTTTTCGTACTGGGCTCTGGCTTCTGCAGGGTCAAAACCAGGTCATCTGCAAAAGCTTTTAGTTTATATTGTTTCTGACCGACCTGAATTCCTTCCACCAACCGATCCCCTCTAATCATGTTCAATAGCACTTCCAGAACCGAAATGAATAACAAAGGGGAGATAGGGCAACCTTGTCGTGTCCCTTTTTCAATTTTGAACTCTTCTGTGACCACATTATTAACTATCAGTTTAGCTTTCTGTTCTGAATATATCGCCTCAATCCCATTCTCAAAACCCCGTCCCACTCCCATCTCTTTTAAATTTCCCATCATAAATTTCCAGGAGATATTGTCAAAGGCCTTCTCCGCATCTATGAAAATTAAAACTGCTTTTGTATTTATATCTGTTTGCAGAAGTTCCAAAATGTCAATAATGTTCCTTGTATTGGCAAACAGATGTCTACCTGGGAGAAAACCGGCCTGGTCCTTATGAATTACTTCATTTAAGACTTTTTTTAAATCTACTTGCCAAAATATCTGCAAATATTTTGTAATCCACATTTAAAAGGGAGATGGGGCGGTAGTTCTTAAGTTGTGTCTTTTCAGCTTCCGACTTTGGTATTAATGTGATAAACGCTTCCTTCCACGAATCCGGTGCCCTCTTCCCCTCCATAATTTCATTGCTGACCTCCATCAAAGGTTGTATCAAATAGTCTTTTAATGTCTTATAATACTTGGAGGTCAGCCCATCTGGCCCTGGAGATTTGCCAAGTTGCATGTTCTGAATGGCTTGTTCAATCTCCTGTCGTGTTATTTTAGAATTCAGAATTGTCCTATTTTCTTGTGACAATTTAGATAGTCCATTTTTGCCAAAAATTGTTTAATCTCCACTTCGTCTTGCGGCCCTTGGGTGTATAATTTTTGAAATATCTCTGGAAACACTTTCTAATATCCACTGGATTCTGAATATTTTTTCCATCAACCTCTAAGTTTGTAACCGTGTTTAATCTTTGTCTTCTCTTCAACTGCCAAGCTAGCAGTTTTCCACATTTATTCGCCGACTCAAACGTTTTTTGTTTCATTAATTTAACCTTCCATTCAATTTCTTGATTTATCAATTTAGAATATTGTGTTTGATAAAGCTTAATTTCTCTCAGAGTTGGCTGTGACTTTGGATTCACTCTTAATTTCTTCTCTAATTCTTTTATTTTGTCCAAGATCTTATCTTTTTTCTCATTTTGTGTTCTTTTCTTTACTACATTCTGTTGTATCAAGAATCCCCTCATTACAGCTTTGCTTGCGTCCCAGACGATTCTTTTTCCACCGAATTGTTCATGTTTATCTCAAAATAGTCCTTCAAAACTTTTTGGGCCTTCTTGGTAATTTCCTGATCTCTAAACAAATTGTCATTCATCTTCCATCTAAAGGATCCAGTTGGTAGTAGTGTCATATCCATCTTTACTGCATTATGGTCAGAGCAGGTCTTTGGGCAGATTTCCACTTTTCTGACCTTAGGTGCCAGGCCTCTGGAAATCCATATTTGGTCGATTCTTGTCCAGGTCAGTTGGGCTTCAGAAAAGAATGTTCCTTCTCTACCTAGTGGGTTCTTTGTCCTCCAAATGTCAATCAAATCCATATTGTCAGTCATTTCAAAAAAAGTTTTAGGTAGTCTGCCGTCTTTTGTAACATTTTGACTTTGTGACTTGTCCATGTTAGTTGACACGACCCCGTTCATATCTCCCATCATTATGATGTTGTTGTAATCCAGATAGTCCAGCATTGTCCCCTGCAGCTTCTTGTAAAATTCCGATTTCCCTTCATTAGGTGCATAGATTCCTAATATCAACAGTTTCTCTCCTTGATATTGTATCTCAATGGCCAAAATTCTTCCATGTTCATCTTTAAATAAGAATTTAGGTGACAGGCTCTCTTTTGCATATATCACCACGCCTCTCTTCTTAACTTTGTCCGACGAAACAAATTCCTGGCCCAATCTTTTATTTATTAACACTTTTCTGTGGAGCCTCGTCACATGTGTTTCTTGTAAACAGATAATGTCCAATTGTTCTTTTTTAATATATGAAATATTTTCTTCCTTTTTCCGGAATGTTACAACCATTAATGTTCCAACTCAGCAATTGCAGAGACATCCTGGATCTATCTGGTTATTTCTCCAGGGGTGGTATCTTCTCTGGATCTTCAGGTTCCCCAGGTGCTGGTGTTAATGCTGGCTTTGCCCCAGGCCCAGAAGGTAATTCAATTCCTTTTTGAAGGTCCTCTCCGTATGTAGCCAAAAATTTGTCTCTCTCTTCCAATGTTCTAACTTTGACCTTTCTCCCTTTAAAGGTAAAAGATATTCCTTGGGGAAATTCCCACCTGAATGGAATTGCGTTGCTCCTTAGTAGTTTAGCAAGTTCAGAATAGGCGGCTCTAAGATCCAGCAGTTGTCTTGGAATATCTTTATAAATTTCAATTCTTCTGTCCAAAACCTCCAGTGACTTTCCGTAATGTAGGCCCAAAATCTTATCCCTTTCCTCCTTTGATCTCAATGTAATCAAACAGTCTCTGGGCCTCTCCTTCTTTGTGAATCTTCCAAGTCTGAAAGCCGACACAATTTTAAAATCCTTTTCTTCCAAATTCCAGAACTTGGAAAATTCTTTAGTCAAAAACTCAGTTAAATTTCCTTCTTCTGCCTCTTGTAATGATCTAATCCTCAAATTATTCTCACGATTTCGCAGTTCTATCATGGAAAGATAAGTCTGATGTTCCCCAACTTGTTTAGTGAGTGGTCTTACCTCTTGCTCTAAATTTTCCAATTTTTGTCTAGTATCCTCAGCCAATTTCCGATTTTCTGCTGAGGCCTCCGTTAACTGTCCAATTGCTTGTGTATTCTGTACCACTTGTATGGTTAATTTATTTAGACATTCTGTATTTTTGTCAATCTTTGCTGATTGCGCATCTACTTTCTTGTCCAAAGCTTCCAATTTTTCAAAGATTTTGTCTAGAACAGAAACAGATGCTCCTGAGGCCATATCTTCCAATTGTAACTGCTCTGCTTCACCCTCTCCCTCTTTTGCCTGTGGCAAGGCAACTTCTTCAAGTTCTACTTCTGAGGGCAAAGTAGGTACAGATGATCTACGTGTCTGCGAGGCTGAGGTTAGAGTTGTTAAAGTTGTTTGTCTAACTCTCCCTCTTTTCCTTGTGCCACTCATTCCAACGTTGTCTATCAGTCAAGGTCACACTGAGTTTTTCCCATGGGAATAGAAAGGCCCAGAGCAAGCAAACAACAAGGGAATCGAAAGTAAATGTAGATGTAAAGTCACTGTTTTAATCCAATCCTCTAGAGGGAGCTTAAAATGTCTTTCAGAGTCTAATTTAATGTCCAAGAACCTTCAGATATAAATATTTAGCAGAGTTTATAAGTAGTCACTTTGTTACAGACAGTGCTTATTTATCTCCAAAAGAATGTTTCAAATTTAAAAAGTCTCAATACCCTCAGATTGTTGCAAGTTCCAATATACAGTATCCAAATCTGCAATACTGACAGCTCAATCTCTCAATGCTCAGGCAGCTCCTGACTCTGGGTTTCACCTTCTAATTTGTAATCCAATAAAAGGAGGAAAGTCAAGTGCAAGTTAAAATTCCGAATCTTTAGCTTAAAGTCTTTACTTTAAATTGCAAGTTCAGTAGATGCTTAGATCTGTAAAGTTTAAAATCTCTTCCTTTCAGCCTCCACTCCTCCAACTTAGTTGCTTTTTTCAAGTTCAATGGCTGCGGAAGACGGACTTCCTGTTTCCACGTCTCTCCGCTTTCAGCCAAGTTCAAGCCAATTTAAGGTTTTTCATTTAAAGTCTCTAATTTCAAGTGATTCAGTCTTTACTCACGAGTAAGTTGCTTTTCGTCCGAATCCGTATTTTAACAGGAAAAAGGATCAGCGCTCACCGGCAGCAGCAGCGCGGCTTCACTCCGCAGACTGTGAAGCAGCTCTCAGCGCCGCAACCCCCCTCCACGCTCCGGAGCCCCTTACGAGGTTCCTTTCACGTTTGGAGGGTCACTTAAGGCGCCCACCGAGCCTCAAGACCCCAAGCTCTTGCTGCCTGGGGTTTTCCGGAGTGGGTCTCCGCTTCGCCGTAGCGGACGACCCGTTGTCTGCGGAGCCTCCTCTCCCGTTCAGAAGAGGACCGCCATTGCCGTTCGCGCCGCCCCTCTTGGGCGTTCAGTACTCTTGGCCATGCCTACTGCTTGGAAAGAAGGTTAGAAATACCTTCCAGACCTCAAGAGTGGGGAAAGGCTATATAGTTCAGTGGCAGAGTGTCTGCTTTGCATGCCGAAGGTCCCTGATTCAATCCCCGGCATCTCTAGGGCTGCTGCGAACCCTGAGGAGCTGCTACCAGTTAGTTTAGACCAGTGTCTCCCAAACTTGGGTCTCCATCTTTTTTGGACTACAGTTTCCATCAACCCTGACCACTGGTCTTGGTAGCTATGGATGATGGGAGTTGTAGTAAAAACAACAACAACTGGAGACACAATTTGGGAAACACTAGTGTAGACAGTGCTGAGCTAGATTGATCAATGATGTGACTCTGCATAAGGCAGCTTCCTGTGATCCTAAGTAACTGGATAAATCCTGTGGATTCTGGCAGGGCCTTTTCTCTCACCACCCCATATTTGAAAATCACCCCCTTGCTGAAATACAGAGCCTTCATTTCATCAGCATTGTTATTCTACTGAAAACACATCTGTTTAGTCAAGCATTCCCCTTAATTTGAACTTCCTAATCTAATTGTTTTAATTTTTCTTGTAACTGTTTTAATTGTTATGCTTTTTAATTGCCCTGTGGGGGATTTTTTTTGTAAATTTTAATTAAGGGTATTTTTATTGTTTCGATGGAAGTGTTGCATTACCTACTTTAATTTTGTGTGGATTTTATAGTTGTACATGCCATTTTGGCATGTAAGCAGTATATAAATTGATAAATTATGGCAGTGATGCACACATACCTTTGATTCTAGCCTCATACACATACAGCATCTATGGAATTTTCCCCAAGAAGTGCCCTGTGTAAACCAAAAACTTGCTTCCAATATTTTAAAAATTAGTTGATCAGATAGAAAAAGGTATCTTCCTGCTATTCTATGCATTAAATAGCCTAGAATTTAGTTGTCTTCCAGGTGGTGTTTGGGTGTAACTGAAACACACATTTCACCATACATTTTTGCTGCAATAAAAGATAAAAAACGCTGCCAATTTGCCTCCCTTTTTGCTTTTTTCTGCAGTTGACTGCCACTCAGGCTGGGAGCTTAAGCTCCCAGAGGCACTGGCAGTGTTGCTAAGAGCAGAATTACATATCGCACAATTGCACCAGGGCCCCAGTGCTGATTCCATCTTCTGAGATCTGATTTGTATGTAAATACTCAGCAATCACCTCCAGGAAGAGAGAGATGGGAGGCTTCTTTTCATCAGAATCTTTTGAAGCATCCTCACTATGGAGTTTAGCTGCACTGGGGTTTCGGGCCAGAAACTGGATTGGATTGGAAATGGTTTGCCTTAAAGATGAAGATTATTTGCACAGCTGGATTCATTCCCCTCTCCCAGTTTTCTTCTGTAACTAATTAAAATTATAATGAGGCTTAGACTCTTTAAAATACCAGTAGCATCATCCTGACCTCTAGATGCCGAATATTGCAGTGTGGCTTGTATGTTTGAGAGGGAATTATGCCCATATAAATCTCAACATGCTCCATTTAAAATTGCAAAAAGATTTAGGCGAAGTCATCTAACATTTCTGAAGTCTGTGCCGGATGTGATCTTTCTTTCCCAACATCCTGACCAGGCATGCATAACCTGTGACTTTCCAAACCAAATGCAGCCTACCAGCAATGTAAGGTGACCCTGCAGCAGGTCAGTAAGCCGCCTGGCTTTGCTGCCTGCCTGGGACTGCACACACAAGGTGGGGTTGTCAAGTTTCTGTCAGATTACAATGGATGACTAATAGGTTGTGTTCATCCTGGTAGGGTAACAAGTTGTGCATGGCTCTTCAAAGCTCCCTCTTTTTAAAGCAAAGACTGATACATGCACCATCATAACAGAGCCGTAGCTAGGGGGTGATGAGGTGGGCTTCCTTCAGGGGCACAGGCAGGGCCCCCCTCAAAATCGGCTAATAAATATGTCTATAAATAAAAATATTGATCATTGCCTCATAAGAAAAGGTTTTAAATAGAGGGTGAATTGAATGGGGGGGGGTTGGAGGAGAGGCGGAAAGAAGAGATAATTTATCAGTGGCTAGGGGGTGCAATCTGGACAGTTCAGCCAGGGGCACAAGATCACCCAGCTATGGCTCTGCATCATAATGGGTCAAAGAAGCAACGCCATCTCCGTCTCCAGGTGCATTTCATTCACAAAAATGCATTGTATCAGTCTCAGGCGGAAGCTCCTTGTCACCAAAGGCTAAACTGCCAAACATCAGGCGTGAGGACCCCCAATGCTTGCCCCTTGTTCACAAAGTTTCTTCTCCCCTTGAAGAACATAGGAACCATCTGCTCCCCACGCTGCTTGCTAAAACAGGGAGATGGCTTAGTTTTGCTTGTGGTGGTGGTGGAGGAGGAGAATGTGTTGGCACAGTGATCTATCACAGGAAAAACCTTTCCCCTCTCTTCTTCTCTCTTTTGCCCATCATGCCTGCTGCAAAGAGGAGAGCTTTGGAGCAAGGAAAGAAAGGTTCTTCCCCAACATCCCTGCCATATATCTGCCAATTCAAACACTTTTAGAATACCAGCAACAGGAGCTGTCCTTAAACACATAGGTTTTGGGTAGTGCTGGAGTGTGACAAAAATTCTGCCTTTATCTAAGTGGTAGCACAGAACTGCTTATTCTTGTATTAAGGGGGAATTTACTTGCCAAATCTAGTTTTAAATAAATATCAAGATTTGGGGTAATTCAGCAGAAAGAAGAGAAAACTAAAGAAAATTGCAACAGACATTTAACTCTCACAGTGCCATTAAACGTCAAAATAATGTGCGCCATCAAATTGAATAGTCACTTCTGCTTAGTGGTATCTGTAAATGCGTTTGAAAGATGATAGTGCATCCAGAAATATTTCATTTTCTGTTTGTGTGCCACAATCATCTTTGGAAGGCAAAATGTTCTGCGGTTTTATATTTGAATATTGATATGTGCTTTAATTATTAGCCACTTTGAGTACCCTTGTGTGTGTGCAGGAACATATAAACTCATGCACCACATATATACTGGAGTCACCAACATGGTGCTTGGGGTTGCAGTGGTTCCTCTTGTTCTCTTGACACCCACAAAATATCTGAGACTTCCCCACCTCCCATTGCCCCCTTAGTCATGATGTAGTTCCCTTTTTCTCCCTTGAAAAGTGCATAGGGCTGGAGGACGGAAGTGGCCAATGGGGGCAATGATCAAAGGACTCACCTAAAAACCCAAATGTGCCGATGCACCTAGAAAGGGTAGCAAACCCTTTATATGTATACGTTGGCAATAAGGTAACTTGAGTGGTTAATGTGCATAGCAGCTGACCATTGTACACGTTCACCTTGCCTCATGGAGAATGTGCTTGTAATCTGTCCATGTAGAGGGAATTGGAGCTTTGTCAGGGTCAAATCCAGAAGTGAGAATTCTGGAATGGATATTGAATGCAAGGGGGACTGAAACTGTATGCAGAATCATTGAAATACCTTTACATATTTATACACTGAAAAAGGCTGTGTTCATTACTTTCCAGGTGAACATAAATGTGTCTGGCCTAACCATCCCACTTCATTTCCTGTCCTACTGGCTGTGTTCCTAGCAAACGCAGGCCTAACCTGGGAAGAGGTGCCTACTGGGAGGCAAGCTACCCTGGCAGATGATGTCTTGGCAAGCATCCCTTGTGGTATGCAGGGGCATGTAGGACATACTCATTATCACAGTCTGTGGGGCAGTGGCAAAGCCTTGCAGACACAAGAGCACACCTTTAGGAGTGGGGGACCTTTTTCAGCTGTATTCTCTTTGGGGCATGAGAGTGGAAGGCACATGCCAGGGGTGGGCAGAGCAGTGACTTTAGACTTTGCCTTTGTTCAGCTAATTTCTACATAGACTCACACACTTCTCTCTACTCTCCCTCCATCCAAGCGAGATGCATTAGCGAAGGACCACATCCCTACTGAGCAAAAGGGCTAAGAACGGGTCTGAAACAGGACCAGATAAGAGTTGGTTGGGAGGGCTGCATTTGTCCTCCAGACGGGATGTTCTCCATTCCTGGCCTAGACAATACACCTGTAAACACACACAGGGATGCCTCTGCAGGCAAATCAATTTAGAAAGGGTGTCTTGGTGGTGGGGCTTTACAAACAACTGCTAGAATAACACAGGGAGTAACTATATTGGTGAACCTCAAAGCAATCCACCTTGCTTAAGACTGGTAGCCAAGATGATGTTGACTTTTTCTCTATTTGGACTAAATACATGAGAATAGAAGACTCTTTGGAAAAGACCCTGATGTTGGGAAAGATTGAGAGCACAAGGAGAAGGGGACAACAGAAGATGAGATGGTTGGACAGTGTTCTCGAAGCTACCAACATGAGTTTGACCAAACTGCGGAAGGCAGTGGAAGACAGGACTGCCTGGCGTGCTCTGGTCCATGGGGTCACGAAGAGTCAGACACAACTAAAAAACTAAACAACAACAAAACATTAATTTGAAATCTGGGCATTGTTTTTCTCCTGTTAGCTGTTGGGCTGGGTAGAAACAGAGCTTGTCCAAAAAGAAAAAGAAAGAGTGAGAGAAAGACATTTCTAAAGGGTAAGCAATAAACCTTGGCCTTTGTTCAACACTGAGCACACAGAGGCTTTCCGGCAACAAATCTCTCAGTGACTGAGCATCCAATCATTCTGAGTCACCTCTAAAGAGAGACTTACTGTAGATTGCTGTGTTGTGTTAATACTTTTCTGTATGTTGCTTCAGAAGGACAGTAGCAGCATATGATTTCCCCTACCCACCCCTAAAAAAAGTGAGAAAGAAAAGACTAAGCAGACCTTAACAGAAAAGCACTCTCTCTCTCTCTCTCTCTCTCTGTGTGTGTGTGTGTGTGTGTGTTGTGTTGTTGCAGAGCCTTGCCTCTCACAGTGGATGACATAATTTTGTTCTTAGCTGTTCTGTAAACTGCTTCCGGTTTTTCAATAGCTTCCTTGGCCTCAGGAAAATTATTCCAGATGGGGTCTCGAGCATTGAGAAAACTGATGGTGTGATTATGGAGTTGTGGGTACGATAATCTCTGTGTTGTATCATTAGTTTTTGTTTAGTTTCACCTGTACTGTACTCACCTAAAAAGAAAATTCTGTTCATGGTCAATCCAAATTCTGCACCAATATCAGCTGAATCCATCAACCTCTATGGAGTGTGCCTGTTCATGTAGTTTCTTTTATTTTGTACTATTTATTCTCATGTGCTGGAGTGGGGGAGAGAGTCACACAGAACTGCATTCACTTGGTGAACTGAAGCAGGATTCTCAGCAGGGGTGTTGTAAAAACAAATGGGGAAAAAATACCTAGCAAATTACAGTACAAGCCACAGGAAAGCTCTCCTGAACATGCTCAGTCAGTAGAGCATGAGACACTTATTCTCAAGGTCATGGGTTCAAGCCCCGTGTTGGGCCAAAGGGGGTTGGACTAGATGACCCTCATGGTCCAGTCAAAATCTACACTTCTATGATTCTCCTAGCCCCTCTGAAATGAATGGGAGCTGCAAAAGAGACCAAGTTTTAGAACCCTGCCCATCCAGAGCTTTGCCCTGCCATTGCATATGTGTGCTTCCTTCTCACTGAAGAGCATGGGAGATATTGCCATCAGATTCCCTGTGTATGGTTGAATGTGTAGCTCATCTCTGTTAAAATCTAACAGCAGCTCCATATGCATTTAGACTTATGAAAAAGACAAGTAGGCGCATAGTCAATCTTTGGAGAGTGTGGTGGTGTTGCACGGGGAGGACCATTGCTTGGCCACATAGCTCCTGCGCCACCTTTCAGTGCATGGAGGGGGTGGGTCATGTAAAATCCACACACCCCCAATTGCTTATTTCCATTAAAAGTGAAGCTGAACCATTTTGGATTTCTACTAGTTTTTGATTTGCAATTTTACAGGCTTCGGGGGGCAGGGGGGCTGGCTAATGCTTTTTGGGTCTGTGGTCTGGCGATTAGGCATCCCACAGTCTGAATTATTATACCCACTTATACAGGAATTACCCCATAGGAGAAGAAATGTATATTTGCTTTGGAAATTACATTTTGTTTTACTTAAATATTGTAAGAGATGGTTTTAAGCTGTGCCTCACTTTAAGTGATCGACTTAACAAGCTCTCCAAGGCACTTTTTGAAAAGTTTACTATTTAAGTGTAAATTCTCAGGTGTCCTGTCCCCCCCACCTCTGCGCTAGTTGGCAGCTTATCCCTGCACTCCTGTCAAGTTCCAGGTCCCTTGCCAGGAATGTGTGCTGCTTGATTTGAGAGTCCTTGGGAAAGCCAACCTCTCCCTCCACTCCTCTGCCCCCATTACCTAGGTCAGCCTGACAGCCAGCCAGCAACAGTGGCCTTCCAGGAAATACACAGCATGCCAGAATCTGGGATGATGTGGACGTATACCTATGAATAGAAGGAGAACATAGGTAGGATAAGGCTACTCAGATCCACATCCATGCATGTTTTCAAAAGGCTCCCTCCCTGCCACACAGTTGCCAACTTTTCAACTGGACTCTGTAGCCCGTCAGCCAGTTCTGTTGATTTGTTCCAACCATGGCTCATAACAAGATAAAAGAAGAGAGATGTGCATTTCATTGTCTCAGGAATAATCAGCTGCACACCCATCTGAATATTTTTTGTTTGACCATGCACTTGAAATCCTTCCATTCTATATACAGTTATTCCTCACCCATTGCTGTGCATCTTGATTTATGCTGCTTTAGATCTAACATGGATGGGTGATTCCTTTCAATGTGAGCGCTTGAATTCCCCAGAATTTTAAAGGGGCTCCCATCCTGTTAAATAAATCTTAGGCTGCAATCCTATACCTAGGAGTCAGACCCATTGAATGTTGTGGGGCTTACTTCAGAGGAGATATGTGCATCATTGTGTGGTCAGTCATTTAATTATGTAAGCATATTAATGGAAATAGGAGGGTGGATTTTACATGACTGTCTTAAACTTGCATACAAATAAGACAAGTTTCCTTGAAGAAGAAGAAAATGCATTATTTATTTGCTTTTCGCCAATGTAGGTGCCATCTTTTAAAAAGCATTTTTGCTATGTCAAAGGAGAGCATGTATCTCGTCTAAGAAGGCACCTGCTCTGATTTAAGAAGTGTTCTGATTTAAAATAATAATTATTTTTAAATCTGTTACCCCAAATTAATCAGAGCACCCTTTGAATCAATCAAAGTGTTTTCATCAATTTCAGCAGGGATTTCACACACACGCTAATCGCATATTTGCAACCATATAAGGTGGAAAGCTGCTTTTTGAAAACAAAGTTGAAATTCACATAGCATTGAATTCCAAATGGATACGTCAAAGGCCTGTGGCTAAATAATACATTTTTGTGCTTCTCCAGAATCACAGTCCTAACCATAGACTTTTTGATTAGAGTTGGTGACAAACTGGATTGCTCTGCTCAAAAATGTTAACTTTTGAAGTTATATATGAAAAGTATTGAATATAAGGCACAGCCTTCAAGGTCAATAGAGGACTCCAAAAAATTTGAAACTAATTCTTCTTATACAAAACAGCATCTTGCTATAATGGAAGGTAGAGAGAGTAATGCATAAAATTTGTCTTCAGAAAGGAAAACTAGATTGTGATGACAGGATCTAAGATGGAAAAGACCTATTAGGTCATCTTTTCTATTGCTCTGACAAGGGAGGATTGTTCTGTTCAGTGCATTTTTGAGTGTTTTAGCCAGTTCACTTCCAAATGTCTCAAGCAATGAGCTGTTCCTTGCAATACAACGCTTAAATGCAAAGCTACCATGAGAGGAAAAAGCTCTTCAATGTTCTTGAGTGCCATGAGACAAAACCAGAATTAAAATCTTATTAAACCACATTCATTTTCTGGTCCTTACTCAAACATTCTTCTAACATCTATATACAGTGGTACCTCAGGTTAAGAACTTAATTCGTTCTGGAGGTCTGTTCTTAACCTGAAACTGTTCTTAACCTGAGGTACCACTTTAGCTAATGGGGCCTCCTGCTGCCACTGCGCCACCACTGCGCGATTTCTGTTCTCATCCTGAAGCAAAGTTCTTAACCCAAGGTACTATTTCTGGGTTAGCGGAGTCTGTAACCTGAAGCGTCTGTAACCTGAGGTACCACTGTATTGCAGTTAAATCTTATAAGAAATCTTTTTTTACATTCCTAAGATCTGATATTTTTATATGCAAATCCAATTGCCATAGCCGGATGTGCTTCAAAACCTGCACGACTACAGTATAAACAGATTGGGTTGCCCTCCTAGATCCTCCTTCAAGAGGAATAGCAGGACCTCAGTGTAGGAAAATGATTGCTTTTTTCTGCAAAGTACAGAAGGCAAAAGTGAAGAGGAATATATATGTGTGGCAGAGCTGAAAAGAATACCCACAGCCACAAATATATGCATTATTTTAAAACATCACCTTATCTTCTCATTTCACCATTTAATTTTGAAAGTGATCCCCCCCCCCCAAAAAAACCCTTTGAGTTTGGGCTTTGGAACATTTGTCTGTGTTTTGAAGTTCAGGTTCTTAAGGACCTCTTGGCACTCCCCCCCCCCCAATTTTGGTTACTTGTTGGTTTCTTCTTATGAATATTTTGGCAGGCATTAAACATAAACTCTCCTAAGCCACGGGCTGTCAAGGATGAAATAGAATGTCGTCAATAAATGCTTTTGTCGAATGCTATCACCTGCCTACCTCCCAGTGCTGTCAGATCTCAAATGCCATTGTGTGTCATCTATCCAATAGCAATTATCAAAATATCAAGCACTGGAACTTGATGACTGTAAGATATTGATATAGAACTAACTATGATACCCTTTGAATGTGATCCTGGCTGTGTGGCAGCCTCTCTCTAGTTATATAGCCTTTGTATGTGAGAAGAGATGCTGGCTGCTGTGTGAAATACTCACCCGAATTCTCAGTACTCAGGTGGACGGACCATGTAGACGTTGATCCAGCTATGCAGGAGCTAGTTATGGAAAAGCAGATCCTGAACTTCTAGGTGTGGTTTGTGGCAAATATTTGAATATTGAGATGATACCTTGGTGGGGATATTTAGCATCCATATTTTCAAAGGAGCTTTTGGGAGGGGTGTGTGAAATTGATTTATTTCAGCTCTGAGGCACAGTTCTTCTATTCACATTCATCATGCAGCATTATCGGAGTTCTAACAAAATAGGTAATCTACTTTCATCAGTAGATGCTCCACATTATCGCGCATTGATTATTTAAAATGTTTAGGATCATCAAGTAACGTTATAGGTACTCCTTGGGGCATCTCCTTGGAACTGAAACGGTACACGTGGTCTTTAATGGATGCCTTCCGTAAACTAGCTGTACTACTTGGGATGGCCGCAAATCACATTTTGTTGGCATACTGAACATTTAATGGGCAGAAATGACTAGCAGGACCACAGCGTCAGTTTGTACGTGTTTATTGCGGACGGGAGAACAAATCTGTACAAGTTCAGCTGGCATGCAATGAGCGAAAAAGTCTAAGCTGGAATGAACTCTTCACATTGGGCTGAATGTAAGCTGAGTGTCCTACTTTAGTATGTCCTCTAAAGATAAGTGAATTAGGCACCATTTTCTGCAGTAGCAACAGGATGCTGTTTCTGGCTGGGAGAAGGGGTTGGTAGATGCATCGTAGTTACTTGCATAGGTCTCTGCAAACTGAAATGCTATAGAATCTGATTCCATGTGACATGGTACAAGACCCTGATCTTGTCAAGTAGTTCCTGTTGAAATTGAGTTTTGATGGAAGGTCCTTTTGAGTATTGGGACATCAGCCCTTCTATGTTATAAATTTATGAAAAAGGGGATGAAAAGGCATCATGCTTCCAGATGTCTTGCCCAAGCAACACACTCCTTAAATGAGCAGCTACATTAAGCCCTTGAATGGGGCAACATGCTGCAATTTGCTGGGCACATTAATATTGTTAATACATTGTATTTCATCTGGTATTTTTAGGCTTTGCCTCCCTTTGCTTTGTGTATTCCCCAGGCTTTTGTTTGTTTTCTAAATTTATATCCCATCTTATTTCTGAAGGCAGCTAATTTCTGTTTGGGAGGATATGGGGGGGAATCCCTCCAAAATCCACTAAAATAGAGGGTGGAAACAGGAGTAAAAGCAGCCAAGAAAATTCAGTTCTAATTTGGGGATGACAGAGGCCAAAACTATAAAAGGAACTGGACACTATTAAAAAGCTTTCAAGAACAGAAGTGGCAATGCCAGGTGACAGACTCCCCCTCCCTCAGGTGCCAGTCTAGCTTGTAAGGTCTCCAAGCAAGAATTTCAGCATCTTCCTTCTCTCTTCCACACAAGAGGGAATGTCTCATTGAGATCATATTTGTTGTGTCACATGCATGCATCATCCAAAAATAAAAAGAATGCTTTTCCTCACAGAATTGTTATTTTCCTT